TTACTTGGGGTTAAAATAGATAACATGCGCAGTGTGCAATGTTACATCTTCGGTCTCTTTAATCTAAGGCTTCTCGATAGTGGGAAAAACTACACATTTGAATATTTTGTGGACTGTGTTGGTTATTCCCATGTTTCAGGTGGACTCCGTTGGTTTTTGCCCTGTACCCTTCAAATGGGATAGTACCTGAAATAACCTTAACGTCCTTAACACCGGTAATACCTACTTAGACATTATGCACAATTTCGTTTTGCACATTTTGTAAACAAGATTCAGGAACGGTTAACAGCATTTTTATACCTGCATAAGACAAGACAAAGGCTTTTTATAATGAAACTGAAGCACATTTCTAGAATTTAAGATATTCTTTTAAATCTAATTTATTGCACCAGCTTCAGCAAATTCTCTCATTTTTAATTCATCTGTACAAAACCTAATGCGATTGCAACACTCTCACTCAAAGCACAATTAATAATGGCCGTGTTCATCGTCGTCAAACATGTTTTAAAAGCAAAGAAACATGTTTCATAAGCGGTTGGAATGACGCTGAACGATCATTTTTGTTTACGATTTGTTTTCTCACCCTCAAATCTGTCAAAAAATGGAATGACATTTGGTTGGCACAAAGAAGGTTATGTGAATTGTTTACTTTAGTATTTTTTTAAAAAAATTGAGTTGAATTGATTTGTACAGTGAATTAGAGTTTATATAAGTACCCTTCTGAAAGTGGTTTTGACAATTTTACGGCGAAAAACCTACAACTTGTATTATTTTGGGTTGTAAAGTCATGATGTTTTTATTGCCTCTATGGATCTTGAATTCTACATACTTAGACTAATCAAAGAAATTGTAATAGTCATTTTATTAAAGGTAAAATACATTTTTTTGACACACAAATAAAAACATACTGTAACTAGATCATACTTTGAAGAGCAGAATGAGAATGCTATTTATTGTGTTTAATCAACTGTCTGGTCTGCACCAATAAATTAAAGGAACTCATGATACTAATAACATACATATCAAAAAGTGATCTTTTTACATATATGAAGGATACATAAAAGTGTTTAATAATAGAGACATCAAGTATGACTTTCTTATTTTTAGGGAAACAGAATTCCTTCAAAGTTAGTAATCATTTAAACTGGACTCCAGCCCAGAACTTGAGGCATGTGTCTCAAACCAGTTCAAAACTAACTGATTCGAAAAAGGAGGAAGAGATAAAAATGAAAATCAACCTGAAGTAAACTTTTATTTTTGAGTCATACCTAACATCATAAGTCCCGCTTTAGGCAAGACAAACCCACTTTCAAGTTATGTGTTCCATTGTCCCCAAAGAATGCAAGAATGTCCCGCTTTAAAAGAAAACGTGATCTGATTCAAAACATTTTTCAAAAAAGAGTGGTATCTCATATAAATATGTGCTAGTGAAAAAAACTTACTTAATTTGAAGTATCAGTATTGAAAGCCAAGCATAACATAAACAAGTCACGTCAACAGTTCCATTCCCATTTAAAAACTAAAATATAGAAAATCAGCCCACTAAACAAGTTTTATTTCGCTTTTCTAATTTCTAATAAATAAACATAAAATTATGTTATTTCACTTATTTTTAATACATTTTTTTATTATATTATTGTTTTACTTTTACTACAATCTTACTGTTGTTATTCTACATTAAAAATAATGAAAAATTGCTGTTGTCTTTTAAAATTTACAGGCTTCTTGCTGTGAGGTAAGAAATGATAACGTTTTATTACAAAAACCGAAAATTGTTAAAATAATCCCTATCTAATGCTTTACTTATTTTTTTACAAAGTGTTTTTGATTTAGGTACTTAGGTGTTATAGATTTTTGGTCATTGCTAATATTCATATTGAGTCTGAATTATTTTTATGTATTAATAAAATTTGTCTAGTATTATAGAGTTATACATACCTTATCGACAAACTATATACATTAATTCTTTTATAGGAATGATATATTTTGTATTGGAAATTAATAAATATACAAACTTAATGTTGTCATATAGGTAGAGCGACTTATTAGCAAAAATTATTTGAAATGTATACAGTAATGAGGTATTTTTTTAAAGGTTCAACAAACCAAGGTGGGCCCTTTTTAATATAATTGCTTATATTTAATTTATTTTGTAAATAAAATGTCATACTTTTATTATTATTATTATTTATTTTTTAATGCCCTTTTGGCCCTATATACATTACATGAAAACAAAAACATCGGTGCAGTTTTGATAACAAAACTCGTCTGTTTTGAATAACTGTGCTAAAACTATATAATATGTAGGTATGTTATATTATCCATATTCCTTACTGGTGGAATCCCATTAACGTCCAAATGAAATAATTTAAGCATACGTGTATGTATCTACGTCTGGAATTAATTTTATTTTCTTCAAATAGGTACCTCCATAAATACAATATTATATTAAAATACAACTTAACTAATCAACTCTATTAGGGTATAAAACCTTAAAAATATAAATAAATAAACAAACACATAACCTAACAAAATGCCAAAAGACGGATTTGACAGGGGTTCAAGGTCAATTTTATGCTTTTAAAGCAAACAAGCGAGTTTATTTTCGCTTTTATGCTTCTTCAAAAGCGCTGCAGCGGTTGACAGTTCATCGTCACCGCTTACTCAGCGTTACACGGGGGTTTATAGCATATGCGCATTTTGTCAACAAGTTACTGCGCATCGAAACTGGCGTACGTCCGTTTTACAATAACACAATTATATATAAAATATAAAGAAAACAGAATAATTACAAAATATCTCAATAAAAATAAACATAAGCGTGTTATTAACTTGCCAAAAGTAATAGTTTCACATATTTTTAATTTATCAATCGTAAAATTGAAAAAATATGAATTTATTCAATTATTTGTACAATGTAAACCTGGCTTTGGATAACAAAACCCAAATCTCGTTAAAGCTCGAGTCGACTCGATAAACGAAACCCGAATGCCGAATGATACAAAATACAATATGGCTGTCGATGTAAACAATTCTGAGTTTTACTTTTATTTAATACAGTTTTAGGCATAAATTTAGTAATAATTTACTGTAAGTAAACTTATTTTGATACTTTTGCATGTCTATGTCCTATAAATGCATATATTTGATTGTAATAGTAAATTGTTCTGGCCCATTTACACTGTTTTAGAAGAAACATTTTCATTTTATTGTCAACTGAAAAAAGGATTATTATTCGTATTCGTAATTGTATTATCCCCAAATATTGAAATCTTTAACAAATTTTTAATTCTGATATTCATTTTGATAATTATCCTAGATATGCCAATTTAATTGTATGTATTATAACCAAACTTTTTAATCTTTATAAATCTAAAGTATTTTCATTACATAAAGCAAGAAAATCTTAATTAGACGTTATAGAAATTAGAAGTAGTAAATTAAAAATTAGTTAAATCGCTGCAAATGCAAAAGTAATTAGTCACATACAATCAAAATCATGTACTTTAGGAAGTTTTTCGCTTTCAACAATTGTTTTTTTTTTCTTTTCAGGATTTATGGATGGAACTCTTGTTTTATTTCGCACGATTAAAGAAAAATTTAGTTCGTTTTGTTATTTAAAATAGTTGTTTATTCAGAAAATATATATTATGTTTATTGTTGTAACCAATAAAGATTCAACAAATAATATTTAGTTATAATACAATTTTGTATTACCTATTTATTTTTTACCTCTAAAATTATTTAACATAAAATTTTACATTTTTATTAGCATTTTTTAACACGCCTGAGATGCGTGTTAAAAAAATGCTATTAAAAATGTAAAATTCTTATATTTTGTCGAAGTAAATTAAAAAGCCCGCCAATTTTCAAATTAAAATAGCATTACAGCTTTTTATATTACCGACTGAGAATTAGTTGCACAAAACTATCCCACATGTCGCTGAAGGCAAACATGTTGCCATATTTATACAAAGAAACGGCAACTCTTAATTATCCTTCCTCCATGCAGCGTTACAACATGTTTGACGACGATGAACACGGCCAATATCTCAATTTCCGACCATGCGTCGCTAACCGAATGCGGCGTTCAGCGCACAGTTTCAGGAATTAGGTTCCAGGCTAACATTGTTGCCAGATTATAACCTGTCATGTGCCTGTCACTTCAAATGGGTGGCCATTTTGTTTGGAATGCATAATTGTCCAAAACCACTGAACTATATATATTATACCGGAAGAACAAAGCCGATTAACAAAATGAAGCCGCATCGCGAGGTGATATTTGACACTGTGGCACCCACACGTGTGTATCGAAATGCACTAAAAAGGAATGTCAAAATTAAATTTAACACTTATTACAGTCAACTACGACACCTTTTAATTTAAGAAAATCACTTAAAAATTATTTTTGGTCAATACGCAGCTGAAACAAATGTTCTAATAATAATTATTATTAGAGAGTTTCCAGTACGTTAACGTAAACGTGAACGTCAACGCAGAAAAATAATGTTTACGTTGAAGTCCAAAATATGAGTTGAAGTCATAGATTGTTGAAGTTGTTAAACGCATCGTGACATGACATAAACTTATGCCTTGAAGTAAAAATGTTGATAAATATATTTTTTACTACATTCAAAGGCTTAAAATTGATTTTAAAACACATTTTTGCTAAACCGATTCAAATTAATGAACACTTGACAGGCAATATGGCTGCTTGCGAACGACCCGCTTTAAGCAATCTATATAACTATATGTATCATTGACCCTGTCAATGAAAACATGGTTGCCATATCTAAACTGTCAGTTCCCACTTGTCAGCATTTTGACAAGCCGTTGATGCCTAAATTCTACAAAACTAATCCATCTATCAAATTTAATTAATTTTATTAACAAATTAGCTTTTTTTTCATGATTTTACTGTTCTATTTCAATGATAAACTGATTAACAAAAATTGACATTTTGATTTTGACATGTGTGAATGAGAATATATGAGATATGGCAACACTGCAAATTACTTGTGGCTAATGGCGTAAACGATGAAGTGCAAACATAAATAATTTCAACTAGGTATAATTTTGGTTTTTATATAATTTTTATTTACTTTATATATTGAATAACGTTTATGAAATATTTTATATAATAACCGTTTTGAAATTATTGTTAATGTTTTCAATATGTCTAAAAACAAAATAGTGAGATCGTGTGACACCAAAATTGAAGTGAAAAGTAAAGTAAGTATGCCGATTTTTCTTATGTTTATACGATTAATTGTATTATCGTTTTATATTAAATGATTTGAAATAGTTTCTTTGGCTAATTCATTAATTTTTCCTAATTATTTCGAGTACACTTATTTTTACTCATGTTGAATGATTCATTGATAAGGAATACATTTTTAATTACTATTTGTTTATAGTGTTTGTCAGACAAAAACGAATTGTTACAAATCTTATTGTTTGAATATTGAATACAAATAGATCTAACCTCTCCTTATAAGGATTCAAATATAAAATGAATGTCCAGTTGTATGCCTATGGAATACATTATCATTTTGTAGCAATAATCACATTTGTCATTGTAAATTTATTACATTTACCTAATACTCTCAAACCTATACATATTCTTAAAATGTGTTGTTGATTCATTAAAGAAAAATTTGAAATTGCAAAATAATCCATCCTTTTTAAATTAGTTTGTTGACAGGCTATGTGTGAATTGTACATAATTTTAAAAAATATTGTGTAGGAATCCCTATTTTTTTAATCTCATTTCTGATAAGTATACTAAACTTATATACTTATATTTTTTAAGTATTGACCTGTGTATATATAATTAGTTCATTTTGTAAGTAAGAATAAAATGAATGATTAAAATGTAAATGTTCAATGACAGATTCTGGTAAATACCCTTTTTCGTTGTCCAGAAATTTTGATGAATATTCTGATGTTCCAAGTAGGTGCAGGTGGTTATAAATCTCTAATTAAAGATTAAGTACCTATCCCCACTATATCTCATGCTGAATAATATAATACTGACACACTATGATCTGAAACTCAATTGCAATTGTAAGGCTACCTCACTGGTCACCACAAGTACTGACCAAACTTGACACTGCCTAATAATTACAGATAACAAAAACTGATTTGTATGTGATAATCTTAAGGTTTATGTTTTCAGTTTGATGCAGAATTCAGAAGATTTAATGTGGAACGAAATTCTCAAGTAAAATTTGAAGAGTTCAGATTGCTTATAGAAAGCTTACATGCCTTGAAAGATACGCCATTTTTAGTTTCATACATAGATCCTAGTGATCAAGATTTGCTTCCTATAAATAATGATGATAATCTCAGAAGAGCACTCTTTAATGCTAAACCATTGCTAAGAATTATTATACAAAGAAAAGGTAATCTTAATTTCATATTTACCTCATAAAAAAATTGTAATTTTGTAATTTTAGGGAATAGTTTGGAGGAGTTAAATGGTTATGGGACACTTAAACCTAGAAATTTAATATCTACAATATTAGGAGGCACCCCAGCTAAAACTAAGACTCTTCCTATATCAAATCCACATGATTTTAGACAAGTTTCTGCTATTATAGATGTAGATATTGTGCCTGAAACCTGCCGAAGAGTTAGGTTATTGAAACATGGATCTGACAAACCGTTGGGGTTTTATATAAGAGATGGAACAAGTGTAAAAGTAACACAAAATGGTAAGGCTTGTTTTTACATTTTTTTCCACTCTCATGCTATTAATTTTGGTAGGGCTTGAAAAAATCCCAGGAATCTTCATATCTCGTTTGGTTCCTGGTGGTCTTGCTGAATCTACGGGATTATTGGCAGTAAATGATGAGGTCCTTGAAGTAAATGGTATTGAGGTGGCCGGGAAAACATTGGACCAAGTAACAGACATGATGGTGGCCAATAGTTCAAATCTAATTGTAACTGTTAAACCAGCTAATCAGAGGACACTAGGTCCTCCTAGACGGGGCAGCTTTGGCAGAAGTTCACATATGTCTAGTGGTTCCCATCAATCAAATACCACTGCAGGATCTGATCCAGAAGATAAATTTGATCAGGATGAAATTGTAGATTTTACAGGTAACTGAATTTAATATAGTATTAGGCAAGTCTTAAAAGAAAATCAATTCACATTAATTACAAAAGTTTTCAAACTTTTTAAAATAGGTATAAGGTAAATTTATTTGTTCATTTCAAGAATACATTACAGAAAATAAATTCCAAGTAGTATATGTATAAAAAAAATCTGATGTGTCCAACACATTACTTTCCTATCTAGTTATTACAGGCTTTTTTCGGTTATTTTGTACAACCTATTGCAGCATCTCTATAAATGTTTAGAGGATAAACTAAATATATACATTGTCCACATACATCTACCGCGAAACATTTTTCTATAGATATTCATTGAAAATGAAAATAATGAAAAATTTAAATTTAGCACTTTTCCTACAATTTTTCCATTACGGTCCATTTTAGAAAAATCATGTATAAACAAAAATTATAGAGATCGATATCGCAAACAACTTTTATTTCAACAATTTTCATAAAAATCAGAATTTTGCACATTTTGTCAAATTTTTCGAATACGGACCATTTCAGGAAATTTTTACATAAAGCAAAAATTATAGATAATAATATTAGAAGTAACTTTTATTTGAACAATTTTTTTCTCCAAACATAAATAACAGATATATTCCATAAAATATAAAAACGGCCTCCCATAAAGTACCCCCCAGATGTTCCGACTTTGTCCAAAATCTAATCATTTCACGTCAGGCCGAAATAAAACTTAAGTTTAAAATTTAGTTTTTTTCTTTATCCGTTTTTGAGTTTTCTTCAAATTTCGAAATTTACACATTTTCTCAAATATCTCGAATACAGTCCATTTTAGAGAAATTATCTATAGGATAAAAATTATAGAGAATTATATTACAAACAACTCTTGTTTGAACAATTTTTATAAAAAAAAATATTTTTTTTCATTTTGTCAAATTTCGCGAATACGGACCATTTTAGGAAAATTTTGTATATAACAAAAATTATAGATAATAAAATAAGAAGTAATTTTCATTTGAAGAATTTTCTTCCCCAAACGTAAATAACATATATTCCATAAAATATAAAAATGACCACCTATAAAGTACCCCCCCAGATGTTCCGACTCTGCCCAAAATCTAATCAGCTCATTAGACGCTGGAACAAAGCTTAAGTTTGAAATTTGGTGTTTTTCCGTGTATCGGTTCATGAGTTATGCGTTAGACACACACACACACAACACACACACACACACACAACACACACACACACACACAACACACACACACACACACAACACACACACACACACACAACACACACACACACACACACACACACACACACACACACACACACACACACACACACACACACACACACAACACACACACACACACACAACACACACACACACACACACAACACACACACACACACACAACACACACACACACACACACACAACACACACACACACACACACAACACACACACACACAACACACACACACACACACACAACACACACACACACACAACACACACACACACACACAACACACACACACACACACACACAACACACACACACACACACACACAACACACACACACACACACAACACACACACACACACACAACACACACACACACACACAACACACACACACACACACAACACACACACACACACACAACACACACACACACACACAACACACACACACACACACACACACACACACACATACACACACACACACACACACACACACACACACATACACACACACACACACACACACACACACACACACACACACACACACACACACACACACACACACACACACACACACACACACACACACACACACACACACACACACACACACACACACACACACACACACACACACACACACACACACACACACACACACACACACACACACACACACACACACACACACACACACACACACACACACACACACACACACACACACACACACACACACACACACACACACACACACACACACACACACACACACACACACACACACACACACACACACACACACACACACACACACACACACACACACACACACACACACACACACACACACACACACACACACACACACACACACACACACACACACACACACACACACACACACACACACACACACACACACACACACACACACACACACACACACACACACACACACACACACACACACACACACACACACACACACACACACACACACACACACACACACACACACACACACACACACACACACACACACACACACACACACACACACACACACACACGCACGCACGCGCGCACGACAATGTAAAATTGTATAAAAACACTCATAAACTAGACATACAATATTTTAATAAAAATATAAGTAATAGTAGTACAATAAATAAATATTCCACCACCGAACTTAAGTGTTCTTTTTAGAGTAAGAACGTTAATATTAAAAATATCACAATAAGAAAAGAATTTATTATAATTTTGGCATAGTCAATCAATAAAAGCGGGTATGAATTTGGCAATATGCTAGTTAGGTGTGATGTCATTTTGGTTCCACTGACATTTAATTCTAACCAAACTTTTAACAAAAACCGTAATAAATTTGACATATACGTTTTTACTGTTTTTAGTTTATTTCTAAATATTGTTTACAGATCATAAAACATAGTTTAAAGGTATGTAATTGGTATCTTAACGATTGTATATTTGATGTATGTTATCTACTTACTTTAGGAATATATTTATAAAAGTGAAAAAAACGATATAATTTAGGTAAACAAAACGAACAAAAAGCACTCAAAAAATCTACTGTCACTTTAGTTGTCAGTGGAACAATAATTACATCATCACTGAACTAATGTATACCCTTTACAATAATATTGTGAATGTATTGTTCACTAAAATGTAGCAAAAAATGTATTTACCTCCATGAAGTTTTTGAAACTGATATGCAAAAACAGTTTTGTTGTCATGAAGAGCGCATGTTTTTTGACATGAAAATGAAATAGATAAAGGAGGAACAGAACTAAAGGTACATTTGGCACATAAAACTGAACATTATTACATCGAAATTACAGGAAGAGAAATTTGTCAGTATTTCAAGTGATTTTGTACGGAGCCCACGTACATTCTAATAGTACAGAGTAAAGAGATCCGTATGTGATGTTATTGCGGATTTTTTGATGAGTGCAAAATTTGAGATACCTTCAAGATTTTAACTTTGTGCTATTGTAATATTTGGAGGAAACATATCAGAGAATAAGAATGAATAAGAGAGGGCAACTAACAGCAAGAGTATGTTTTTTTTTAAGATTCTTTAGAGCAAAAATAATTTTTATGAGTTCTTGCTTTTTGAAAATGGACATTAGACCATCATATGAAAAACTTTTTGGTATGAAATGACAAATATCAAAGTTAAGTAGCATCGTGTGAATTTTAAGGTCAAATTGTTGGATGAATCTGTTAAGGATATTGTGAATACATCTTTGTACAGGTCCACAAATAAACAAATTAGTTCTGCAATTTTCCTGAAGTTAGGATTCAAGTGATTTTGCTGCTATAGGTTTACCTTTCTGAGCATTATCATCGCCGGTGAATAAGATAACGATGTCTTGGTTATTAAAATTTGAAATTACTTAAGACACATTTTATACGGTCCTCAAATGAAGATTTTGCTTACCATTGACAGTTAATATCGTAGTTACTGTTGGTAATATGTTTAACTACTTGAATGATCCCTCTTACATTTTCATCAACCAAGACTAAAAGTTTGGGGTTTTCTAGCTGATGAGGGAGGTTTATCTGGAAGTAAAGATTGTGGTGTAGTCCCAGTTGAGTTTTTAACTTCTTGAAAATATTATCCACCAAACTTCAGCGCTTTTAGTTCTTGAGTCAGTGAAGAATTTTGTTACTCAAGAACAAAAATTGAGTTTTTCATTACCTTATTTATTTCGGTTAGGTCATTTACCTTGGTGTCTAACTATTCAAATCATTATCAAATTGAACTCTAGTCTCTAAGTCCTTGTTTAGTATCTGAAGAGATTGCAATTCTCTTTCTAATTCTTCAATAAATTGTCTTTATTCTTTTTGTTTAGTATTGAAGGTAAAACTGTCATCAACTTCAGAAACGTTAGTAAACTCTTGTGTGCCTCTCTTCAGACGTTTAATATAATTTTCTTTTTTATCAATTTTATTTCGTAGATTGTCAATTGTGTCATTATTTGAAACTTGAATTTGACATTTATTTGAACAATAAATTCTGTAACCATCTAATTTAAGAACTTCTTTAGACCAATCTAAACAATTAGGGTTGAAAATACCAGCGCATGATATACAACAGTAATTCGAAAATTCCTTATTTTTACAATATTTAAAGGACCGGTCCATTATATTGTCAAGTGAAAATATACGAAAATAAAATATTAACTATTTATTTTTATTACCCACGCACAAACAGGGAACACACTTTTTCACGTCCGTAGGTCTATCAGGACGACTTTAAAAGAACAAACAAAGAGGACCATGGGGTGAAAACAGAGGAATGGGTATTTTTTTGTTCAATTTTAGAATTAAATAAAATTTAGAATAAATAAATCGTTTCTCTTATGATTAAATAGCTGCTATGTGGTAGAGTAGCCACAGCCAGTTTTAAACTAAGTACGAAAATATCAATATTCCAACAAAATAAGATAAAAAAAAGCTAACATAAGATAACCGAATGATCAGTTTCTCTATATTTATTGGTAAACAAATTTACTGTATAGCTCTTTCATAAAGGATAATTGTGATTTAATTTAATCCATTATCACGTTTGATGCATTATTTTTCACACTTTCACTGGATATTAAAAACACTATTATGACTTGAAATTAAACCAATAAATTTCTAATTTAATGATGAGTACAACTCAAATCCACTATTTTTATGTTGATGTATCTACGTACTGAGTGCCAATAGTCGACCATTTAACAGACT